CCCAACTGATACAATCAGCAACACATTAAGATCAAGCACAACTTTGACACTGACCACTGGTGGTAGTCACTAGTCTATCACCCTTAAATCATTTGAATTAAATTGAAATCAAGAAGCAGTCCAGAACATGTCTGCAGTAAACAAAATTTCAATATAGTGTATTTACTATTTAATGGCTCAGACAGAGCGAGGATGCAAGACCCCTGATCTCAGTTAGCTGATGGTTGAACCCTATGACGCTGACTGACCTTGGGCTGCAAGGCCCAGATTGAGTTCCCCAACCTTCTGAATGGTTGAACTCCATAACATTCTATTACAGGTTTCCCATGCCCTTTCTTTAAAGATGTTCAAAGTTGGGAACTCAGAAAAATACCCTTGATGACCACCTCTGCCTCTGCAGAGTGGGTCCAAAGACTGTCACAGTCAGGAGGTCTGAGAGTGTGTGGGGGCCTTATGGGGGTTCAGGGGCACCCGCGGGGCTACCTTCCCGGTGCTTGAGTGGGAGCAGGCATGGTTCTCCTTCCCACAGTGCATCGGGGCCCAGGCTACCTGCCTGGCGTTTGAGCGATGGCACCTGGGTTGGGAGCAGGCGTGGTTCCTTGATTTGTTTTGTTTCTTCATTGTTTGAACAGTTTCTGGTTTTTGTTGTTGCTGATCTGTTCTGTTCTTTCTTCTTTTCTCTTTCTCTCCTGTCTTCCTCACCAGCTTCCCAATGTTAGTACAATCTTCTTTGGTCATCCAGCATTGCTGCTAATCTCTTCCACTTCTTCTATCTACCTTTCCCCCCTACTCCCTTTCAAATCTTCTCCCCAAAGGATAAAATCAACATACTAAGGGCTTATTTGTTGCATACTATTTTCTGGTTCTTGTTAGATTTTGTCATATAACCACAAATCTAGTTCAGACGGTTAAACATGGCAAGTTAATAGTTTTCACAGTTTGCCATTTTATGGGCTGTATTTCATGCTATTGCTGATTGTACTACTTTAGCCAAGGTGACAGAATTGTGCTAATCAGTATACCAAGACTGAGAGTGTCTAAGGGTCTTAAAACAACAACAACAACAACAACAACAACAACTATAGGGTATTACCAAAGAATCATCAGGTGGGCCAAATAGGCACAAACTTCTCATCCCCAATAAATTGAAGAGATAGGATCTTGCAACAGATTGAAAACCCAAATGTCAGCTACATCTGGAAGACACCTCTGAGAAGTAGTCATTTCCTAAGGGTTTGGAATACTGGCTTTAAAACTACTTGCCATAAGCAATTTATAAGCATTAATCCAGGAGTTAAGATTTAAAAAAAGAGAGAAAATGAAAAGACACCTAAACAAGATGCAACCCTTCCAGACTTTCAACTCACCAAAGACAAACTCAGGGGGCAATGAGTTGGAATAATTCAAAAAGCACTCATCTGGACTCTCTGAAGTGGTAACAGTGGAAGTAACAAAACAGATGAACAAGTCTCTAGAAAAATCAATCAATCAATCTATCTATTGCCTTTGTTGGCAAGGCTGGCCTCAAATTTCTGGGCTCAAGTGACCCTCCTGCCTCCCAGATAGCTGGGATTATAGGTGTGTGGCACCAAGCCCTGTTCCAAATAACAGTTTTATAGAAAGAAAAAAGATTTATTGGGGCTTGTTGGTGTTATATTCTGAGTTTACTTATGCTTGAGGTCTGTTGTCTGTATATTTCAATGTCAGTGTGGCTATATGGTAGAATTTTTCAGTTTACATTTTAAGTTTACAAATAATGTCTGCTCACGATAAAAATTTCACTTATAAAGTGAAGAGTAAAAGTTTTTCTTTATATGCAAACTTATTCTACCATCCTCCTTCCCACCCACCTGTGAGTATAAGAAAGTGTTTGGACACTCATTGAGGGCTTATTCTGCTGGCCTTAGGTGATGGAATTAGGCTCACCATGCTTACCTTAAGAGAAAGAAAGCCAGGTGAAGACTGTGAGGACTAGGAAGTATATATCTTGTTCAACACGGCTAGCCACTGCTTTGCTCCAGATGGTTCTTGTTCAAGAAATACAGATCCAGGGGCCAGGGATTTAGCTCCGTGGCACCACACCTGCCTCAAAAGCACAAGGTTCCAAGTTTGATCCCCAGTACAAAAAAAGAAAGAAAGAAAGAAAGACAGACAAATCCAGTATTACTATATTTAAGGATTTTCCACGAGAAAATGGAAATCAAATTCATTTTTGCATGAGAAATTTGTTGTTGTTGCTATGTTAAAGGCATATGACTGGTGGCCAGCCTGGGCTACATATTGAGTTCAAGTCCATCCTGGACTAGTGAGACCTCCTCAAACAAACAAACCCCTTCCCCCAAACCAAAAACCAAACATGTGGCTGGACTTATCAGTCTCTGAATGTTGTAGTTCTGAGCAAAGGCTCTGAACTCTGCAGATTGGATTCTAGTTCTGCCACTTATCCATTGTGTATAGATGAAGTGCCCCACTCTCTGCCTCTATACAATGGAATTCAACCTTGTAGGATTTTTATGAGGATCATATGTGATTATGAAAGACACAGATATGATTGCTTGGTAACATTTGAGATGGTCGCCTCATAAAACTTACAAACTTAATACATGAACCTGAGGCTGGGGATTTAGCTCAGTGGCACTGTACCTGCCTTGCAAGCATAAGGTCCTGAGTTTGATCCCTGGTACAAAAAACAAAAAACAAAACAAAACACACACACACACACACACACACACACACACACACACACACAAAACCAAAAAAACAAACCCCGACATGAACCACAGCTAGGGATTACAAGAAACCTTCCTTGAGACAGAGCATTTAAATAGAGACCTGAAAAGCAATAGTTAACTGATTGGAAAAGTGGGATGGGAAGAGGAGTTTAGCACAACAGGCCCAAGAAATAATTCTTAAGAAACCCCTAATGTAGCCCTGCAAGCTACTAAGTGAGAACAAGGAGACAGACAGTTCTCTGGAAAACAAGGATTTTGTGAGCTATAGGAAGCCTCAGTTTGGCCGAAGGCTAGTCCTTGACAATTTGGGACTTCACACTACATTGGCTAGCTTGGTAACTTCCTGACAAAAAAACCACACCCACCAAATATTCCGCAGGGCCCCTGAACAGGAGAGGGAAGCAGAGGGGGCTGGCAGGGTGGCTTCAGCGGTGAGCAGTTTTCCAGGCAGAGCAGAAAGGCAGGTAAGACAACACCGTGGTAGGGAGCAATTCCACTGGCGTCGGCAGCTGAGGGTCTAGAACAGTGGACTGGGAAATCAGGAAGGACATGAGGCAGCGCCTCTAACTTCAGGTTGAGGAATTTGGCCAGGTTGCAAGAGCTCAGTTAAATGGGGATGGTGCGCCCCCTGGGAGCAGTGTTTGGTAGTGGAGGATGGATGACCCAGATAAGGAGGGGTGGGGGCCAACTCAAGATGTGGGTAGTTTGTCTGGCTGTTTTCTTTGGAAACTTTGTCTGGCATGATGGGTTCTTGGGCTCCCAGAATGGCTGGGCTGGAAGAGACCTTGAAAAAGGAACTAGCGTCACGTTCCCCATCCCAAAGCTGGGAACTTTCGTGAACAATTACCATTCCTAACTCTGCTTCCAGGTGGGTGTCATCAGCCCCATTTTTCAGGTGAGAAAACCGAGGTTTGGTGACTTCCCAGGGCGGGGCAAGGATTTTTCTATGACCCCAGAGTCTCATCATGACTCGCAAAATACTAATTTCCAGGAGTTTGAGGGAACGAGCATCGGGTGTGAGATACCCAAGCTTCCCAAGGGACCACAGCGTGAGTGTACTTTTCGGCGACAACTGCGCCTCCCTTGTCGCGACAGTACTGATCACTGTCGCTTTCCTTTAAGGGGCTTCCCTTGAAATATGAAACCCTCACCCTCTCCCGCACTAATTTCTCCCTCTCCCGCACTAATTCCCACTGGTGACACCAATTCTCCTTCAGTGGCGAGTAGAAGCCTGGGACTACGTTTCCCTACAGGCCGTTCAGAAAGGGGTGGTGAGGACAGGCGGGAAGAGACTTTCCGTTTCCGGCGGCTAGCAGTTTGGCGTGTCCGCGGCGATGCACACTTCACAGCCCACGTCCTTTCTCAGCTGTGCTCGGGCAGGGACTACGTCCCCCAGCAGGCACTGGCGCAGAGGTCGGGGTATCGGCTACCATCTTTGTTGTAGTTCTTCTCCACGTCTCCGCAGGGAACGGCCTTAGCGCTTGGACTACAAATCCCAAGTCGCGCCCCTCCCCGGCCGCCACCTCGGCCCAGTCCCCGCCCGGCCCTCCATTGTCTCCTCGGAGGCGATGGCGGCCGGGAAGACTACAACTCCCGTCGGGCTGTGCGCCGCCGGGTGCGGGGCTGGAGGTAGAGGCGGGCGAGGTGCACGAGGGGCAGAATGAGGCGACCAGGAGAGGCAAGGGGGCCTGCCATCTTTATGGTAGTCTCTTTATTCTCCTGGTCCAGCCATTCTTAAAGGACAGTGGGAGGCTAGAAAACTACTATTCCCATCGCACCTCATGGGACCGACTGCTGGTCAGGGGTACGCCCCCTCTTCCGCCATCTTGCTTGTAGTCCTCGTTCTTTTTCACCTTTCCATTGTTCCTGACGAGTAGAAATGGCAGCGGGAAGGCAGCAGATGGACTGCGAGTCCCGTCAGGTACTGCACACGCGGAGGGTTGTGGATAGGAGGGCGTGTGACTGCCTGGGAAGGAGGTCGGGGCGGGGGAGATAGCCATCTTGTTTGTAGTCCTCGTTCCCGCTTCTTTTCTATGCTCGGCCACTGGGCGCCTCAGGCCAAGCGGACTAGCACTCCCGGCGTGCTCGGCGGCCGGCCCCGCGCGCCATGCGCCATCTTGTCTGTAGTGCCCCGCCGGCCCGCGCTCCCTTGCTTCCGCAGTAGCGCCAGCGCTCGCAGAACTACAACTCTCGCCGTGCCTCGCGCGCGCTTATCCTGGAAAGCGGAGGAGGTGGAGGGAGGCTGGGGCAGGGGGCGGGCTCCTCTGGGAGAAGGAGGGAGTAGAGGAGGAGGCAAGGAGGAGGGAGGGGAGGGCAAGAGAGGAGGAAGGAGGAAGGAGCTGAGGA